CGGCAGCAGCAGCAAAAGCAGCGACAAGAGGGAAAGGAAAAGCTCACCCGAAAACGTTGCACCTGAAAAGTCAAATCCCGGGTGCTGCAGAACTCCGCACAACTAAGACGCCCCGCCTAAACTGTTGCACTTATTTCATTTAAAAAAATAAATAAAAAAGGATTTAAATTAGATATTTTATTATTCCACTTGTTGGCTTATTTCTTTCGATAAATAAATAATTAATAAAAATGATTTTAATTAAACCTATTATTTCACTTGTTGGCTTATTCCCTTCATGAGTAAATAAAAATGATTCTAATTTAGTCTTCTATTATCCCACTTATTGGCTTATTTCCTATAAATAAATAAATAAGTACATAAATAAATAAATAAATTAATTAATTAATTAATTAGTTAAAATGATCCAAATTAAATGTTTTATTATTCCACTTTTCTATTGAGCCCACCTCTTCTCCGAAACGCTCCAACATGAGTTTTTTCTGAACTTCCTCCTGCAGCCCATTTGTTCCAAATAAAAAACAAAAATAAAACAAAACTACATTAAAGTTTATCTTAGAATTATATTTAAAATTACGTTTAAAATTGAATTTAAAATTGAATTTGAAACTGAATTGAAATTGAATTTAAAAAGGAATTTAAAGTGGAATTCAAAGCTGAGTCTAAAGTTGAATTTGAATTAAAAGTTGAATTTGAATCAAATTAAAAAATGAATCTAAATTGAATTTAGACTGAATTTAAATTGAATTTAAATTGAATTTAAATTAAATTAAAAGTTGAATTTAAATTGAATTTAAAACTGAAACTGAATTAAATTAAAAAAACTGAATTTGAAATGCATGCAAAAAAAGCCCCACTGCAGCGAGGGGGTTGAGAGTCGCGTGGCCCTTCAGCGCGGATTTCCAAACTTCTCCTTTTCGCATTTTCCCGAGTTGAATGTGCAGCTCTCCATCTTCTGAACAATTGAGAAAAAAATGAACTAAATTGATTGAATAAAGAATTATGTTTAATAATAATTATATTTATCAAAGAATTGTATTTGTTGAAACGAATCAAATCTTATTTGCTCGTCTGCAGCTATGAGTGCAACTGAGTCAGAAAGCGAAAGCTGTTCACATTTAGTGCTGCAACGCTCCACGACGAAATACTTTTCCCACTGACAGAGGCGCTTTTCACCTTTATTTCCTGTCTGATTCCGCATTTAACTAATTATTTAAATAAATTAAATAATTAATTCATAAATAGATAAAAGTGCTGCTGCTGGAGTTTCGCTTTGGGGCGATCTTGCTCACCCATCATCCAGAAAGACGCGGCGGTTTCAACTGTGGAAGACAGTTCCTCCTGAAGACACAAGAATCCCGAGGTCCTTTTGGCGAAAATCCTCCAATTTGTGAAGTTTAAAAGATTAAAAAGCAAGATAAAACCATTAAAGAGGTTTTAAACGCGAATTGAATCCGAGATTCCGGGATTCCGGGCTTGGAAGCAGCAGGAACAATTCAAGAAAGCTGAAACTGAGGAGGCGCTCACGTCAAACAGAGGCGGCTTTCCTATGAGGCCAACGGCCAACTTATTGGGGGAAATTCGCACAGAGATTTCCTTGGCTTCTGTTTTTGGTGGTGGTTTGAGATAAATATGAACATCCGTCAGGTCTTGTTCCCACTCATACAACAGGCGGCCTGCGGGAGAGAAAGCGAGTGGAAAATGTCACTTCAGCCCACTTATTTCAACTAAAGTGAAAGGTAAACGTGCTTACAATGCAGATTCGTGCAATTTGCTGCAACAATTTAGCAGCTTTCTCGCTTACCGTCATGCCGAACTGGAACTCGGCCGCGAGCCGCCTCGGCGATGGCTGTCTGCATGTCTGGGAAGCAGTCGAGCTTTCCAGCTGGACTGGAACGCGTGTTTGGCTTAAAACTTGAATTGTACTCGCGAAATTTCACGAATTAAATGCAGATCTGTCTGTACTTGAGGGTCTTGAGCGCGTGCCCGCGTAGACACTGCTGGGGCTGCTATGGTGAAATTTTGAACAGTGAAACACACTTGCGATCAGTGGCGTTTGTGCGGAGTTTGCAGCTTGAGATGAATTGGTTGAGTATTTATCTTCATTTGAATTCACATTTAGGAGTATTTGAAGGCTGTATTCACCCAGTTGGGCGGCGCTTCCTTCGTTAGCTGGCCGTGCGCTGCAAACGATGGCAGCGGCTGACTGCCGCCTTGGCATGCGTCGAGTGGGC